TGACTTGAGCACCCCCCACTAATCCAGAATACTTTACAAATAATGTTAAAAATAATTGATTGAAGGATTGATAAAATTATATTAACTAGCTCTATAAATGTACACTTAAGTAAATTTCTCCATGTTAAAACTGTACTATTTTCCTACGATTTATTTGAAAACAGAGGACAACAGATATTGAAATATTATGTATGAAATATTATGACCATCAGGAAAATCAAGAAAGTAAGCAACTGGATGTACTGTTTGAACATACTGTATTAAACTTTTATTCAGTTTATTTACTGCTTTGTTCAGTTTCTTTTAATTATAAATTAATTCTGAAAAGTTTACATGACAAATTACATAATTTATGTTGACCTGTTAGTTTGCTAGATCTGCTGACCTAGATTGCAGATATCATTTCTTGTAACCACTTAGCTGTAAAGTTGGATTTCCTGTATTATGAAACAGAAACCATGAATTTCTCCCCCTGAGGGAGACTAACTTAAAACAATAAGAGAAAATACATAACCATTTTTTGTGCTAAAGATTTAGGATTTTAGGGGGGTATATTATTATATTACATATTTAGGGGGGTATATTATTATATTATATTGTATTATTTATTTATTAAGATATGTCAGTTGAAAGTTGCTTTCAGTTAAGAGAGCTCAAACATGCATTTTAGTCTGGGACAAGGCTTAAACCTTGTCTGTGAAACGGGCATTAATATATTGTTTGTATACTAAAATAAGCAGAAACATAGGCCTATACAGTAGATTCTACATGCTCATCAAGTCAGCCCCTGAATAATTAGATTTTAAATCATTTTAAATATTCAGATCATATTCATTTATATTAATTTAGAGTATAGACAAGCCTAGATTACAGTAATTGTCTATCTAGATTAATTATAGTAGTAGTTAATAATAATAGCACATTAATCAGTCACTTTGCAACTTCTAAACATTTAAAAAATGACATAACGCAAATCCTTTTTTTCTAAGGCTAATAAATAGCCTGTAGGTCTATGATGCAATCAGCTGCTGGGTCATTATTATTTATTTGAACGAAATAACTCCACGATGTTTCTCTGTCTCTGTCATTTACTCTGATACTCTGATAATCATTACAATCTATCAATAAACGCACACACCTTGTCCTCTGACGCTGGCTGATTAGCGAATCCGTGTATCATTCGATCATTCGTTTTTTGATTTAATATTGAAAGTAGAAATTTTCGTTTTTTTGTTTTTTTCCGAAAAATTCAGCTTAAATTTTCGTTTTTCGTTCATGGGTGGAAAAATGAATAAAAAGCTTGAATATTCGATTCTACGTGTGGGCGGGAATTAAACGCCCCTTTCTGCTGATTGGTCAGCCGAGGATCAAACTGTGCCGTCATCAGTTCTTCTGCAGTATCACGCAGCAGAATAATAGTCCTCCACTGCTGCAGATGTACGGATTCTTGACGCATTTATTGCAACGACATTTAATCTTTATTTGTCCAACAAACAGGCTAATGAATAGCTCGACACAACTCATACCTGGGCAGAGTCTAGACAGGGCTTTCTTCTGTGTAGATATAAATTCTATTCTTTGCATCAGCTGGGCATGGCAGGGTATGATATGACAGCTGTCATAGCCTACCCTGCTCACCCAGTAAGTCTGTTTGTTTAATTAATTAAGAAATGAATTAATTAATTTGTTTCCAAATACATTTTAAACACTAAGACAAAAAGGAAAGAATAATAAATTGGCTTGGGTATATACAGGCAAGAACTGTCATTTTGACTGACAACCAGAGAACAACAGATATTAAATAGCCTACTGTTAGAGTTATATAATGTAGTCTTGTGTTTTATTAAAACTGATTATAATTGATATATAATTGATATAATTGATGATAAGGATATGCACTTGTGCGCGGCGTGAGCTGCAACGCAAGATTTTCATAAAATATAATAACTTGCCATTTCGGTTTGTTTCTCACCAAACCCTCAGTATACCTTCAGAATGCTTGGAATATACGCCACGAGATGCATAGGATTATTTTACGACAGATATGCATCCGCTTAAAAAAAAAACCTAAAGTCACCATTCTCTGCAACTAAATTGACAAGTGCGAGCAGAACTTTTTTGTGTTATTAAGTAATACGCCTTTAGAACAACATTAAGGTGAGTAGTCACTCTAGTTCACACAGTTCCAATAAATTGCGATGGGTTAAATAAACTCAATAAGCAGACAGACGCGACTACAGTCAAGCGCAGACCAGTATTGAAGTGCACAGTAAGGGCACAGGAAATAAGCAGCAGTTATATTTAAAGCAGTTTACATTCACTTCAAATTTATATTTTTAATTGTGTAACGTTA